GTGTGTGTGTGTGTGTGTGTGTGTGTGTGTGTGTGGAGCCTGGGAATGCCCATGACCAGTAGGAGAAGGGTGTGTGTGTGTGTGTGTGTGTGTGTGTAGCCTGGGAATGCCCATGACCAGTAGGAGAAGGGTGTGTGTGTGTGTGTGTGTGTGTGTGTCTTTCCTGAATGAGGGCAAGCACACAATCCTGTCCAAACAAACACACCAGGTGTTGTATTTGGCTGCTCATGTTGTTGCTTGTTTGGTTATTCCCATGGAGTGGGATGGAGGAAGGATGTGAAGGTTTGGAATTAAACAGATCAAGTATGACACTCACGATAATAAAAACAGCTACCCAGATTCCACGTAACACTGGAGTGTATGGGAACGTCTCACCATTTGTGAACTTGAGTTGCAGTTACAGGAAATTTTTTAATGTTTCAAATTGTGAAGCTCATTGTCGTGGCTGGCAGGGATCTTACGCTTCTGAGACAGAATGAGAGGTCCCTGCGAACAGATCCTCTTCCTGGTACCCACGGCAGACATCTCTAATCAAGCACGGCACTCTTCTTATGCTTGATTACCAATGTCTGGTTCAGAGTCCTCCTCTCCGGGGAAGGCACTGCCAGATAAGGCCTGTTTGCTAACCATCTGACGGACGGTCCTGTTGTCCTGTTGCGTGACATTGTGTGGCTTCCCGCTGCGGCTATTTCTGCACATGTTTTCTCAGCAGGCTTCGTGGCCCCTTTTAATCATGTACGCCTTAAGCTGAGGGTCTGTCATCGTGGTTATTTCTGGCCCTCTTGGCATTGTAATTGAAGGTCGTCTAGTCTGGGACCGACATGCTAAACACAGTGTCTTGCTTGTAGCCGCTGCTGTGGTTTGATGAGTTGACAGAAAGACCAAGGAAAACCCAAAAACCTCGTATTATCCGGGTGGTGGATAATACCCCAAAGGGGGATGGCTAGGGGCCTTGTCATTTGAGGGACAAGAAAATAAGGTGGTTTTGACTTCAAGAGCTTGAAGCATAGAATTCAGTTCATAATGCTGCCTGACCGATCGGGTGCCTAGCACTGAACAGACAGCCCCGACCCAAGAAACTCCCTCCCAAGAACCATCATTGTGGTAGACCATCTGATCGTATCAACATGTCTGCTCATCACCGGACGCCACCGGCTCACACCTGTAATCCTAACTTCTTGGGAGGCTAAGAACAGGAGGATGGTGGTTTGGGCAGAAAAGCTTGTGAAACCCCTTCTAAGCCCCTACCTAGGTGGAATGGTGTATACCTGTCACCCCAAGCTATGTGAGAAGATGAGATTGGGAAGATCGTGGTTCAAGGCCAGTCCAGGGGGGAAGAGTGAATGGGACTCCATCTGTAGATGGAGGAAAGCAATGACAGAAGACAGAGGGGGAAACAAGCCCGAGTAATGAAGCCCAGAAAGGGCCGGGGAAGAGGCACTTGGGGGCAGAGGGTCTCATCTGGCTGTGTTTTTCTATTTAGTTTGAGAAGAACCGCAGAGACCAAGACGCCACCAAGCACAAGCTCTTGGAGATTGCGAACTACGTGGACAAGGTGAGGCTTGCAGGGGGTGGGGTGGGTGTGGGGGGGTGAGGATGCGCTGTGTGGGAGGGGCCGGCCCCCAGAAGGGCACACGGGACATAGCGCCCTCTGCTGGATTGCTCACTAGGCATCCTGAGGCACTGGCTTTTTGGGTTTCAGAATTCCTTTTGTTTTTGCTCTTGTGTTTGTGTTGTTTATAAAATCAAAGAATTAGACTAAGTCAATGACTTTCAGTTTAAAAGAAAAAAATACGATATCTATAATATAGACATAAAACATATATATATTCAAGTCATGGGACTTGAACTCAGGACCCGGGTGCTGCCCCTGAGCTTTGTTGCTCATGGATATTATATTGGTCTACGACTAGAGGTTAGAGGTTCAGAGCTCATCAGCCGGGAAGCTCTCAGATTCATAGTTTGGTTCTGTCCTGGGGACACAGATGACAATCCCCTCTCCTCTCCCCCCCCCCCGTTCCCTCAGCAATAACCATGAAATAATCATTGCAAAAACTTGGATGCCCGACTTCCATTTGCTGAGTCGTGGGTCCCATCCATCCGGAGCAGCGCCTCCAAGTTCACTTCCTTACAGAGCTCCCCACGGAAGCAAATTCCAGGGTCAGGTGCAGGCACTGGGGTCCGAATCCCAGGCTCTGCCGCCAGTGTCTTCTTACCGAGTTCAGTGGCTTCCCTAATGTCTGTGGACCTCGCTGCTTCCACAGTGCCCAAACAGTACTGTCCCAATGACTGTTTTTAGCTGGAGAAGCACCTGCCAATTTCCAATGGGTCTCTCTTCTGCTCATTTATTTTTACTTCTTTTTGGCCAGTCATGGGGCTTGAACTCAGGGCCTGGGCACTGTCCCTGAGGTTCTTTTGCTCAAGCCTAGCATTCTACCACTTGAGCCACAAGCACCACTTCCGACTTTTTCTGTTTATGTGGTATGGAACCCAGGGCTTCATGCATGCAAGGCAAGCCCTCTACCAGGGCTTCATGCATGCAAGGCAAGCCCTCTACCACTGAGCCGTATTCCCAGCTCTGAGGTTAGGCAGATACTCTACCACTTGAACCGGCTTTTTTTTTTTAACTTATTTTCAAATAGGCATCATTATAAATTTTTAAATTGTTATTACCAAGATATTGTACAGAAGGGTTATAGTTACATAAGTTAGATAAAGAATGCATTTTTTTTTGGTCCAGTTGTGGGGCCTGAACTCTGGGCCTGGGCACTGTCCCTCAGCTCTTCAGCTCAAGGCTAGCGCTCTACCAGTTGAGCCACAGCACCACTTCCAGCTTTTTTCTTTTTGCTTATGTGGTGCTGAGGAATCGAACCCAGGGCCTCAGGCATGCAAGGCATGCGCTCTACCACTGAGCCACCTTCCCAGCCCAAAGAATGCATTTCTTTTTGGACAATGTCACCCTTCCTTGCTCTCTCCCAATTTTTCCCTCCCACCCCCACTCAAGAGTTGTATAGTTAATTTTCAACATAGTGTCCAGTGAGTACCATTGCTGCAATTGTCTACCCTTTCCCCTCCATTTCTGTACCTCCCCTTATCCTCCCCAAAACATCTAATCTAACAAACAAAACCAAAAGGAAAGAAAACCAAACAAAAACTGCAAAAAAAGAAAAAGAAATCTCATCTTCATTTCCTGCAGTTCATTTCGATGAATATTGTTTTGTATGATCAGATGCACATAGGTATTGTGCCTTTTGTTCCTCTCCTAAGAGTATCCTCCTTTGATGTAACTGTAACCCCTCTGTACATCGTCTTTTTTTATTTTTTTGTCGGTCGTGGGGCTTGAACTCTGGGCCTGGGCACTGTCCCTCAGCTCTTCAGCTCAAGGCTAGCGCTCTACCAGTTGAGCCACAGCACCACTTCCAGCTTTTTTCTTTTTGCTTATGTGGTGCTGAGGAATCAAACCCAGGGCCTCATGCATGCAAGGCAAGCACTCTACCACTGAGCCACCTTCCCAACCCCACAATAACCATTTAAAAACAAAAAGGAGTATCTTCCTTCGATCTCACTCTGTGAGGACATCACTTTTTTTTTTTTTCCTGAATCATCCTACCTATACTTCCGGTAAAACTGGGATTACAAGCTCGCACTGCCATACCTGGCCTTACATGGGACTTTTCTTTTGGAAAGGGGGACAGGGGAGGTCTTCAAATAGCCTCCACCTTTTTGGAAATCTGGGATGCTGGTTTTCTCAGCCTCTGTGAAGTGGGGTGTTGAGGAACTTTATGGACATTCATAAGGCAGCAGCTAGAGCCCTAGACCCATCCTGATGGCGGACAATAGAGCACACTCGTCACTAGCTCCAGAACCAGCCTCGGTAACATCAGACTTTTCTTTTCCCCCCCATGATGATGAAGTTGAGTGTCTTGTCTGGTTATTGCCTTCCATTTCCTTCCTTCCTTCAACTCCCTGACCCCATCCCACGGGACTCTTGGTTTCCCATGATTGCCCAGAGGTCAGTTCCGGAAGTTACAGCAGCCACTGGAAGTGCTCTGTCTTTGGCAGGGAGGTTTAGTTGCTTCAGGTCAGACCCAGCCTTGAACCCCTTGATCAACAGGTTCCCTCCCTTCCCCACCCCTCCACTTCTTTCTCTTCTCTTCCCCTTCAGTCTCTTCCAGTCTGCTGATGGTGTAGCAGAAGGGGGCTGCGCCAGGGGGGGCAGAGCTTTATCAGCCCCACACGGTACTGGCGGAGATGGTGACTGTGGTGTCCTTTTCAGTTTTACCGGTCCTTGAACATCCGGATTGCGCTGGTGGGCCTGGAAGTGTGGACGCATGGGAATATGTGTGAAGTCTCGGAGAATCCTTACTCTACCCTCTGGTCGTTCCTCAGCTGGAGGAGGAAGCTGCTCAAGCAGAAGTACCACGACAATGCTCAGCTCATCACGTAAGTCCTTAATCCCTTCCTTGGGGGGCGGTGGGAATGGGGGGGTGCTGGCACTCAGTTTGCCCTTTCTGTCTCCAGCCATTTTGAGTGTTGGGTCCCCAAGACCCTCCCCTCCCCTTGGTCCAGATAACTAGGCTTTTTCCTTACACATGCTCTGTGCAGACCTACCTCGGAGGGGGTCAGCAGCTTGCTGCCTTCGGGAGGAAATCAGATTCATAGCCAGCCGAGGAGCCTCAGCCACCCTGAAACCCGCTTTGGTCTAATCTCCCAGCACAGGCCCGGGAGAGGGGTTTCCTTGTTTTTCCAGAAGGAAGTCGAGAATCGACAGGGAGTGTGGGAACTGTGCGCTGGGTGGGTGGGTGGAGGGGATCTCCAGGAGGGACCGTGTGGAGTTTATCAGCCTCAGAAAGAAGCGCACACACAGGGATGGGTGGTGGAGGATACAGTATCCAGAGGGCGATGGGAAAATAACTGTGTCCCCCCCCCCCCAAATCTGGGCTATGAGTGGTCACTTGATGACACTCTGTTCACCCCCAGGAGAAGGCTTGATTTCCCAAAACTTTGAGCCTTCAATGAACTTTGAAAGCTTGGTGTCTTACTTTTGGGGTGGGGTAGGACAGGGGGGAAGACCTTGAATCTAGGTTTCCCTCAGGACACATGGATGGATTACTAAGTAAGGCTTTAGATAAGATTAGCATCTATTCTGCAGCCTGCTTCTCTGGAGACTAGTCTCTGTTGAATTTAGCAAACCTCTCGCTTAGGGCCCACTAGACAGACGTCAGATGCTAGGTTCTAACGATTCCCCAAAGAGACAGGATGGCCCGGCTCTCAAGGCACTGTGGTCTAGGGGGAAAAAAAGGCTTACACGCAGATGGCTACCACCTACAGAATTTCCACGGAGATCCTTTAAATAGCTCCGAGGTTTGCCACAGGCAGACGGCGCTGCTGGAGTTTCCTTTATTCCTTCTCGTTCGCCCTGGATGGATCTGCAGCTGAGAGGAGGAGGGCTCAGGCAGGAGCGGGGGTGGGGAGAGAGGACGGCCTAGCTGGCCTGCCATTGCAAAACAAAGGCAGGAGCAGGAGCAGCGCGGCCTTGCACGCAGCTGCACTCTGGAAGGTTCCTGGAGGGACACAGCTGTTTCTTGGCTGCCTCTTCCCCCACCCCCCACAGTTCTGTAAGAAAAAATCTGGCCCCAGAGACACACACCACAGGGGGCAGCTGGCTGTATGGCGTGATTCCTTGAGCATCAGAACCTGCGCCGCCCAGTCCTCCATCCGCCCCTCTGTCCTCCTCTGGTCTCTGTTTTCTCCCCGGAGGGAACTGGCTCTGGGCAAGGGTAGGGAAGAGTGTCTGAGGGAGGGGAACGTATAAGAGGAAGTTGAGAGGTGTGGTGACCAGTGGTCAAGGATCCCAGGACCCTCCCCTTGGGAATGATCTGGAAATGGCAGTGGGGACCCCAAGAACATAGGAGCCACCCACTAGGCACCGGGGAGCAGCTCTCTCGGCCCGAGCCGTCATCTTTGCTCTTCCTGCTCTAGGGGCCTGTCTTTCCACGGCGCCACCATCGGCCTGGCTCCGCTCATGGCCATGTGTTCCATGTACCAATCTGGAGGGGTGAACGTGGTAAGTCACATGCCATGTAAATGATGTCACAAAGGCATCCCCAATACCAGAGATTGAACTTGGAGCCTCGAGTACTCTATCACGTGAGCTGCAGGGATGCACTCGGTCCTGGGTGTTTAGTTTGTGCTCTAGATAGGGTCTCACACAAACTTTCCCAGAGCCAGTCCCCAAGCAGGATCTTGCTACCTCCGCCTCTCTAGTTGCTAGGATTATAGGCATGTATGGGAAGCTATCCTTAAAAAAAATAATAGTAATAACTGGATATTTGTTATTGAGGAAGAATGAAGCTCTGACATTAACAAGAGCCACTTGAGCCACATCCCCGGCCCTATTTTTTTCCAATCTATTGGGTCTTGCTTTTTGCCTGAGCCACAGATAGGTGTTCCCGTTATGTTGTGTGCCTAGCTGGGATGGCAGGCTTGTGCCACGGCACCCCGCATTTTATTGGTTGAGATGGAAGCCTTTCCTTCTTTTTGCCTTCACTGGCCTCAAATCACAATGTTCCCAGATTCAGCCTCCTGGGTAGCTGGAATTACAGGCAGGAGCGCAGCCACCTTGCCTTCTCGCCTTTTAAGCTCCTGCTTTCGATGATTAAACACCACACACTTATGTGTGCTATGTCTGGGGGGGGGTGTACCTGTATTGTGGGCTGCCCTCAGCACCCCATCACCGGCTTTGATGTCAGTGGTTTGGGGCTTTTTGGTTGAAATCAGGCCTGGAGAACCTGAGGTAGAGAATCCAAGAGGAAGCAGCAAAGCTGGGCTACGGATAGAGGTGGAAGCTGGGGAGACGGGGAGGTGGCCCTTGAATGACCTAGCTTCTCTCCCCACGCAGGATCACTCTGAGAATGCCATTGGGGTGGCTGCCACCATGGCCCACGAGATGGGCCACAACTTTGGCATGAGCCACGATGTTAAGCATTGCTGTCCAGCCAGTGCCCAAGATGGCGGGTGCATCATGGCGGCCGCCACCGGGTGAGTCAACAGGAAAAGTGAGGATAGTGAGCCCAAAGGGGAGGAGGTTAGAGGGGGGGAGGGATGTAGGGGCGAGCCTGGAACTCAGCCCCTGGACTCTGTCCCTGAGCTTTGTTGCTCAAGGCTAGTGCGCTACTATTTTGAGCCATAGCACCACTTCTGGTTTTCTGGTGGCCAATTAGACATAAGAGTCTCACAGGCTTTCCTGCCAGGGGCTGGCCTTGAACCGTGATCCTCAGCTCTCAGCTTCCTGAGTGGTTTTTAACTGTTTGGTTGGAGATGAGAGTCTCTTGTATTTATCTGCCTGGGCTGACTTCAGACCTCAATCCTCAGATCTCAGTCTCCCGGACAGCTAGGATTATAAGTGTGAGCCACCAGTACCTGGCAGATTTTTGTTTTTTAAGATGGCATCTCACTGGGTTGCCCAACGCAGCACATAGACACACAAAAAAGATGAATACACCAGAATGGCAAGGTTCCTATTTTTGTGATGAAGCTAACATGCTGATCAGTGTTACAAAAGACGTGTATGTGCGGCTGTGGCAGCTGTATCCAGGTGGCATCGGCCGGCTCGGGTGCGCAGTAGGACTATAAGCTATCTCATGTGTGTGCATCGCCCCCATTAATTCCAACCTCACCCTCTTGCCAGGCACCCCTTCCCCAGAGTGTTCAATGGCTGTAATAGGAAGGAGATGGACAGGTACCTGCAGTCGGGGGGCGGGATGTGTCTCTCCAATATGCCGGACACCAGGACACTGTATGGAGGCCGGAGATGTGGGAACGGATACCTGGAGGACGGGGAAGAATGCGACTGTGGAGAGGAAGACGTGAGTGTCCTGGTGCATGGGTGTCGATTCCCGCGCTCCAGGGAAGATGGGGCTGCGATCAGTAACTTCTTGGTCGTTGGGATTGCCTGCATGTGTCCACCAAAGACCCCGTTGCCTGGAAGATGTGCAGAGAATTCCCCCAGGATGCTCCTACATCCTCTGAAAGTTCCGTGTGTGTGTGTGTGTGTGTGTGTGTGTTGGAATTGATGCTTGAACTCAGGGCTGGAGTGCTCTCCCCCTAGTTTTTTTTTGCACAAGGCTGGTGCTCAAGGCTTGAGCCACTGCTTCACTTAATGGCCATTGGAGATAAGAGTCTCATGGGCTTTTCTTCCCCCAGCTGGCTTCAAACTGCGACCCTGAGATCTCAGCCTCCTGAGTCGCTAGGATAACAGGTGTGAGGCACTGGTGCCTGGCGCTCTTAAAGAGTTAAGTTGTTCTTGTGCGTGTCTAGCCTGCCCAGAAGCTGTGACCTGTTGATATGTTGACTCTCTGTTCTCCAGAGGAGGTGTAGATGGGCCCCTGGGTTCTCTGAATTTGTTCTAAGGCCACACAGCTGTATTATATGAACTTGAACATGAGCCTGAGGAGCGTCCTTAAAAAAGCAAGCTTGGCCAGGTGCTGGTCGGTAGCTCACGCCTGTGATCTTAGCTACTCAAGAGACCAAGATGTAAGGATGGTCCTTTGAAGCCAGCCCAGGCAGGAAAGCCTGGGAGACTCTTTATCTCCCATTATCCACAAGAAAACCAGAAGTGGTGCTGTGGCTCAAACTGGTAGAGCGCTAGCCTTAAGTGGAAAAGCTCAGGGACAGCACCCAGGTCCTGAGTTCAAGCCCCACAACCGACAAATCAACCAATCAATCAATATTGCAAGCTCATTCTATTCTGCCTAGAGAAGAGAAGATTGAAAGGGGCTGTAGGAAGGGTAGTCCAGGCTGGGGAAGGGAGAGAGACACAGCAGAGCCTCCTGGATCAGCTTTTCCTTCTCTCTAGTCTTCCAACCCAGTGTGGCGGGCACACAGACTCGTCCTGTCCTTTGTCACAGAAGCGTGTTTTTCTAGGGGGGTGGGGGGTGGGGTGGGTGGGAAGCAGAACTAGCTGGGCGCCGGTGGCTCACGCCTGTAATCTAGATTCAGGAGGGAGAGAGACACAGCAGAGCCTCCTGGATCAGCTTTTCCTTCTCTCTAGTCTTCCAACCCAGTGTGGCGGGCACACAGACTCGTCCTGTCCTTTGTCACAGAAGCGTGTTTTTCTAGGGGGGCGGGGGGTGGGGTGGGTGGGAAGCAGAACTAGCTGGGCGCCGGTGGCTCACGCCTGTAATCTAGATTCAGGAGGCTGAGAGCTGAGGATCACCGTTCAACGCCAGCAGGAGCAGCAAAGTTGTGAGACTCTTTTTTTTTTTGTCGGTTGTGGGGCTTGAACTCTGGGCCTGGGCGCTGTCCCTCAGCTCTTCAGCTCAAGGCGAGTGCTCTACCACTTGAGAAATAAAATAAAATAAATAAATAAATTTAGATTTGAACATAAGGGTGTAACTTTCAGACTAAAACAAGAACTAGTGAAACAGGCTCCCCTCCCCTCCCCAGCTCCCTCCCCCTCCCCACCCCCAGGAGCTCCGACACTTCAGAAATGCATCGAGGAGTAGAAGGATTTTTGTAAATGGAAGTGTAAATGGAGAATCAAAGCGTAGGGGCAGATTTGCACTAGGTTGTGGCCCCGAGGACTGTGCACGTGTGTGTGTGTGTGTGTGTGTGTGCGCGCGTGTGTGTGTTTCCTACAGCAAAACACCTGTTACCTGGACGGTAAAGGTGGTAGGTGATGTTTTGAAAGGCATTCCAGGCTCCTGGTGTAGGATGGGGATGCCTGCCCTGGGGGCGGGGCTTGTCCCTGACTCCTCCCCCTCCACTGTCTCCCTAGGAATGCGACAACCCCTGCTGTAATGCCTCCAACTGTACCCTGAAGGAAGGCCTGGAGTGCGCCCACGGCGCCTGCTGCCACAATTGCAAGGTGAGCGGCCTTCGGGACTGGTTCTCTGTAGGGCGCCAACCTGACAGCCTGCAGCCGCAGGCCCCCCTTCCCCCCTCGGCTGGCCCGGCTTCCTCACTCAACTTGATGAGCCACGGGCAGCCAGGTTCCACGCGCAGGACTGGAGTGTAGACCCATGCGAGGGGCCACGCGAGGCCACAGGTTCAATCCCCACCACTGCCTGTCCTCCCACCGCCCCCCCCCAAAAAAAAGAAAGAAAAGTGGGATGCCAATGGCGGTCACGCCTGTCATCCTAGCTACTCAGGAGGCTGAGACCTGAGGATCAAGGTTCAAAGCCAGCCCAGGCAGGAAAGTCCGTGAGACTCTTGGCTCCAATTGGCCAGCAAAATAAAACCAGAGGTGGAGCTGTGGTTCACGTGGTAGAGTACCAGCCTTGAGCAAAAGAAAAAAAAAAGGGACTTGGAGGCCAACCTGGGTCACGTGGTAAGATCCCACTATGAGACTCAAAGAAAGGAGGAAGAGAGAAAAGACGCACACTCAAGCCAAACGTCTCATTACAGAAACACTAAGGTGTGTAATCGGTACACCTGCTCTTCTCAGAAGGCTTTGCAAGATACATATGCAGTTCACCATGCATACATATGCATGACATGCACGTGTCTGCATTATTATATATATACATATATATACATCTGTGCTACAATATTTGAACATCTGTGCAATTGATGTATAAATCTGACAGGGCTCTGGCCTAAAGCCACAGACCTGTGTTCTCCCCGCCTCTTGTGGGGAGTGAGTCCAACACGTGTCCCCTTGACAAGCCCAGGAGGGGGCTGTTACCTCTGATTGTGGGTGGATAAATAAACACGCAGAGGCTGAGTGGCTGCCCAAGCTCCTACTCCTGCTTAAAGTCCTCAATTCTCACCAGGCTCTAGAGATGCCCTGGGGTGGGCCTCCTTGGCCCCCAATCCCTCCTGCGAGGAATGAGCTGGTGTGCAGCACCCCCCACCCCCGCAGCAAACTCTCCCAGGAATGGAGGGATTTGTTCCCCCATTGTGGGTGTCCTTGCCAGGCTTCCCTCCCTCGTCCAGGGCTGTGAGGGGCTGAGTCCATTCCAGCCCCCTCCCAAAGATGGCAGAAAGAGCCTGCAGTCTGACCTTCTATGCAGTCCACGCGGACCCTCCTGGTGTGTGACCTGCTGTCTGAAACCTACAATTTTTTTTTTTTTACCTCTTTCTTAGCCATGGGGCCCTAAGGTTTTTATCTATAAACCGAGAAGAGTGTTAGCAATTCTGAGCACCCAGGATCTCTGAAAGACTGAAGGGAAACTTGATTTTGACTGTTTCCTGGGGTGAACTGTCCATTGGGCTCTTTGGACCGGCAGAATAGCTGGGCGGGCCTGCAGCCTGGCCCCATGGTAAACTGTGGTATTGCTGGGAGCTTTGTAAATCCAAGAGGTGTTAGGTGAATCGTGTGTGTGTGTGTGTGTGTGTGTGTGTGTGTGTGTGTGTGTGTTTCCTTTGCCTCTCACACTGAGTCTTCAGATATATATATATTTTTTTTTCCCCCAGTCCTGGGCTTGAACTCAGGGCCTGGGCACTGTCTCTGAGCTTTTGCTCAAGACTAGCACACTACCACTTGAGCCACAGCACCACTTCCAGCCTTTTCTGTGTATGTGGTACTGAAGAATGGAACGCAAGGCTTCATGCATGCAAGGCAAACACTCTACCACTAAGCCACCTTCCCAGCCCTCAGATCTATTCTTCAACCTCTTCAAGCCTCAGGTTTCCCCCTCTGTCCAGTAGAGATGGTTCTATAGAACTCTTGTGAGGTCTAAGTGAAGTCCTGTTGGCCCTGGGCTCTTGGGCAGAGGAGGAGCTGTGTGGGCAGAGCTATCACCAGCCGGTGCGGAGGGGACAAAATGATGACACACACGTTATCTCTCACCTTCGCTTCTTTCCGCCACTCTGAAGACGAAGGGATTTAGCATTTGGGCAGACACCTTGAAGATTCCCAGCCATGAATCCTTTTGCTCCTAGGAGGCCGGTGATGGCTTGCACTAATGGTCACTGGGGACCAGAGGTGGTGGAAAATTCTGGGGAGTGCTGCTCGCCAGCCCTGGGCGGCTGGGGCTGAGGGCACCAAGAAGGCACTGACTGACTGACTTCTGCATTTCTCCACCCAGCTGGTGGCCCCCGGCACCCTGTGCCGTGAGCAGGCAGGGCAGTGCGACCTCCCGGAATTCTGCACGGGCAAGTCTCCCCACTGCCCCTCCAACTTCTACCAGATGGACGGCACCCCCTGCGAGAGCGGCCAGGCCTACTGCTACATCGGCATGTGCCTCACCTACCACGACCAGTGCCAGCGGCTGTGGGGGCCTAGTAAGCACTCTCCCGGGGGATACAGCTCCTGTCCACCTCCACCGGCCTTGCTGGCCGGCCTCCCCTGCCGGCTGGTTGGGATGGCTTAGCATCTGGTCTTCAGAACACCCTCACAAAGCACCTCTGCCCTCCTCCGGGCAGGATGGATGCTCAGGAAGCGCCAGGGCCCAGCCTTCCTCCCAGACCCAAGATGCTTTTAACTCTCAGAGAGAACACTAGATGAGAATAATGCAAGGGATGGGGGAAAAAAATGAGCAGGTGACAGGACATAGAAAGACACATGAAATTGGTCTAAGACTTCCATCCTCTCTGGTGGAAGGGAATGATCGCTGTTTTGTGGTTTTAGTTTTAGTTTTAGTTTTTTTTCTGTCGGTCATGGGGCTTGAATGCTGGGCCTGGGCACCGTCTCTGAGCTCTTCAGCTCAAGGCGAGCGCTCTACCACTTGAACCACAGCACCACTTCCGGTTTTCTGGTGGTTCATTGGAGATAAGATTGTCATGGACTTTCCTGCCTGGGCTGGCTTCAAACTGTGATCCTCAGATCTCAGCCTCCCCAGTAGCTAGGATGAAAGGTGTGGGCCACCAGCACTTGGCATATATTAAAACTTTGAATAGATCTGTTGGGCCCATAAGTTTCAGTTTTACTACTGTAAACTACTGATGCTACACTTGTATTTGCATGACCATGAACATATGTCTTCAACACTGTTGCCAATCATAGCAGTTACAACCTTATGTTTTGTGGGTTGTTTTTTTTTTTTTTCAACCTAGGGACCAATTAAATTAACTCTGGGAAATCCGGACAATGGAAGAATGCTGTATGGCTAAGTGAATGGAAGGCGCTGAATGAAACCATCCCCACAAAAATGCAGGGCAGAATAGTGCCTTGGAAATATCCTTGCATTCCTCATTAGATCCTTTCTCGAAGTTGCACCTAGAATCTTACCTAAGACAGGCAGAGCAGAAGTGGGCAGAAATGCAGTTATTGCCAGAGGATAGACTACAAGGAATTGTTGGCTTTTACAGGAGTGTAAAAACTGGAACAATCATGAGGCAAAAACTCCAAGAGCATTTGTTACATCTTTAAAATCTTTGTATACATTTTACCTATTTTTTTTAAATCCTGAAACTAGACAGGACTTTTATTTGTTAGTAGCAACCAAGATTAGCATGCAAACTCCAGTAGATAAAAGTCCTTCAGAAAGCATTACAATGAACTTAAAACTTTTTATTTAAATGGATCTTGTTGAAAATACGAGGGTAGTACCAGTACCGAGAGAAGTTTCAGGTGGAAGAGGCTGAGGCTTTCTCTCCGCAAGGTACCCTTCCCCTGGTGCTTCCGCTCCAGGCTCGCTTTGCCCTGGCTGGCTTCTGGCAGGCTGGCGTACTGAGAGGGTGTGTCTCCCAAATCCAGGAGCCTGGACTGCCTCAGATGCCTGCTTCGAGAAGGTCAACGTGGCAGGGGACCACTTTGGCAACTGTGGGAGAGACATACATGGCCAACCCAAGAAATGCAATATAAGGTAAGGCTCCCAGGACCTCCTCCCCCACCCCGGCGGGGTGTGGAATGACAGCTCCCCCTCCCCCTCGCCCCCAGTTCACGCTGGGGCCTTTGCATGTGTCACCTGAAGCCATTCTTGGCCTGTGTCTTGATAGTGCATCCTTCAGCCCCATGGCAGGTGCGAGAATGGAGTGTGTGTATGTGGGGGTGGGGGGGGTTGGCCTTCTTTCAATCCTGGGTGCAGAGTGCTAATTATGCCACGGTCTGTCCCTCTGTCCCACCCCACTCAAGCCTGGACCAAGAAAGACTGCAGCTGGGGGGGGGTTCCCTGCTCTGATCGCGTCTCCTCCCCTCCCCTCCCCTCCCTCCCTCCCTCTCTCCCTTTGGGGTACAGAGACGTCAAGTGTGGGAAGATCCAGTGTCACATCCCCGACGCCCAAGCCAAGGAGTCCAACGCGGTGCCCATCAAGACCACCATCACTCTGAACAAACAGACGATCGAGTGCTATGGGGTCCACTTCTACCGGAGCAACGAGGACGAGGTGGACAGCTTGGACCCGGGCCTGGTGATGACCGGGACCAAGTGCGGCCCCGACCACGTGAGTCCCTCCCCCACCCCACAGCCTCACTCTGGAAGGCGTGGCCCAGAGTCAGACAGAGAGTTCTGGAAGGGAAGGCTAGGCTCTCAATCTCTGAGTTTCCCCAGGCTCCCCAACATCTGAGCCAATGTGATTTCCTTCGTGAACGTTGGGGGTGCAATGACGGCACAGCCCGGCTGGCTTCGTTACTGCAACAGCAATAGAGGAAGGGTGAACCAGCTCCTCTCCAGGAGCGTCGCGGAGGAGCATGCCAGGCTCACAGCTTGAATCGTGCGCATGAAATGGTTTTTGGGAAAAAAATGTGGGGGTTGGAGGCATGACTCAACTCAGTTGGTAAAGGGCTAGTCGTGAGTGAAAAGCATCAAGTACCTACCCAGTTCGAGTCCTGCTCTTGGACCTAGAAAAGGAAAAAATACAAAATACACAGCATAGTTCCTACAGTTCCTAGCACAGAACACTGTTAAGTACATGCTAAACACAGTAGCAATGTAGACCATATGTGAAAAATATCTGAAATATTATTTTACACTATTAGAATTATTTCACACTATATATATGTTATGGTATATGCATGTATGTACGTATATATGTATATGTTTGTATAATATACATATATCTGTATTGTATATATAGGACATGTGTGTGTGTGTGTGTGTAGTGTGGGTATGTCAGGGTGTCTGGACAGGGGCTTGAACTCAGAGCATTGAGCTTAGCCATGCCTCCACTTCTGGCTTTGTGCTGGTTATTTGGAGATAAGAGTCTCATGAGGCTGGGTGCCAGTGGCTCACGCCTGTAATCCTCAGGAGGCTGAGATCTGAGGATCTCGGTTCAAAGCCAGCCCGACAGGAAAGTCCGTGAGACTCTTATCTCCAATAAACCACTAGAAAACCAGAAGTGGCGCTGTGGCTCAAGCGGTAGAGTACTCACCTTGAGCTGAAGAGCTGAGGGACAGCACCCAGGCCCAGAGTTCAAGCCCCACGACTGACCAAAAAAAAAAAAAAAGTCTCATGAATTTGTCAGGGGCTGGCTTCAAACTCTAATCCTCAGATCTCAGCCTCCTGAGCAGCTAAGGTTCCAGGTGTGAACTACTAGCGCTTAACAGTATATCATATTTTATTATTTTTTTGACCAGTCCTGGACCTTGAACTCAGGGCCTAGGTGCTGTCCTTGGGCCTCTTTGTACTCAAGGTAAGCACACTACCACTTGAGCCTCAGTGCCACTTCTGCCTTTTTCTGAGTAGTTTATTGGAGATGAGTGTTATGGACTTTCCTACCACGGCTGGCTTTGAACCGAGATCCTCAGATTTCAGCCTCCCCAATAGCTAAGATTACAGGTATGAGCCACCGGCACTCACTTCCTATCATATTTTAATACTGCAATGTTTTGTTTGCTTCCTCCTTAATCATGAGGCTAAGAGCTGAATTTATCTAAAACAAAAAACAAAAATTGTCCTTGGCCTTTTTGAGTCTTTCATTGCTCACTGTAATAAGAGCTCAGTGACTTCCTCCCGTGCATTGGAAGTGTGAACTCTGAGGTCCTGATTCGCACCAGCGCCCTGAAGACTCTTCTTGTTCCCCTGTCCCCCGCAGATCTGCTTCGATGGTCAGTGCAGAAACGCCTCCTTCTTTGACGCCGAAAACTGTGAGAAGAAATGCAATGGTCATGGGGTAGGTAGACCGGTCCTGGGGGGCAGGCTGCGGGGTGCTGGTGTCCTGGGGGGCAGGCTGCGGGGTGCTGGTGTCCTGGGGGGCAGGCTGCGGGGTGCTGGTGTCCT